GCGCGGCGGCCCCGCTGCGCCCCGGGCGCCGGGCCGCGGGGGACTCCGCCGGGAAGCCCCCGGCGCCCGGCAGGAAGACGTGCCCGGCCGCGCCGCCCGTCACCGTCGACAGCTCCAGGGCGCGCACCTCGCTGGAGGCGCTCAAGCTCAGCCTGCGGCAGCTGCGCTGGAAGGAGGTGAGCGCGGGCGCGGCGCGGCGGGGCGCGCGGCCGCAGGCGGAGGTGGCGCGAGCCCCGGAGGGTTGCCGGGTCGGGGGCGGCCGGAGGGGCGAGCCCCGAGCCCGGCCTGCGCGCGGAGCCAGCCTTCCCGCCCCGGGGGCCTGCAGAGGCCGCTCCGGCGTCCGCCAGGCACCTGCTGGGGCTGATCGGTGTTGTAATCCGGCTCGACTCTGTCGCGGCGGGTCTGGCGGGGGTCGGAGTTGGGTCTCCGCGCGCGGCTGAGCTGAAGCCCTTCCCGGGCCGGGCGCGCCCCGCGGGTCGCCGCTGCCTCCGGCCCAGGAGGCGCTTCAGGCTCCGGCCTCCAGCGCCGCCGCGCCCGGTTTTCCGTGCACCGGTCGCGCAGCGCGGTGGCCCCGCTCGGGTGGCGCCGGGCCGAGCAGCCATCCGCGGCTGAGCGCAGCCGGTGCGTCTGGACGTGGGAACAGCGCGAGAAGGCGGTGGCTGCACCAGAGCGAAGGTCCCTTCTTTCCCGAATTGGGCAGCCACCCCCGCTCAGGGCACAAGGCCGGCCCCTTCCTCTTGGTAGCCCCGCCTCATCCGGTACACTGCTCTTGAACATGGAGGCTCGGTATAATTTGCCTTAAGGAAGCAGTGCAGGATCGGACGGAGGGGCATTTCGCGCCAGCCCGAGGCCTCTGGTAGGGCATGGAAGCAGGTGCGGCGATTGCTCCCCAACGGTTTGTCTCTGGGGACCTTCTGCCCCTCCCCTGTAGGCCCCATTTCCCTTCAATTGCTAGTGTTCTGCACACCCCCCATTAATTTGTCTAGTGCTCAGCGGAGCGTTTTCAACAAGTCAGTCCAGAACCGGCACCGAAGAAGCAAATTTCACCGTTTATCTAAATTCTGCAAACGGAGCAAAAGTAAATAGACGGTAAAATTTGCCTCCCTGCCTGTCATGTTATTTCCTCCTTATTTTCATAACTTATTTTGTCTCTCCAGTGAAAACCTGGAATCGCTGCTCTTCTTAGCTTCTGCAATTTAAGATGGGGCAAAATCACTGCCCACTCAAGCAGCCGATTTAGTAACTTGACATTTCAAAAACGGAGAAGAACGAACAGCTCTGGGGGCTGAGGACGCCTGCCGTCCGCTCTCTGCCCGCCCCCCTGCTCTCTCTGCATCGTGGGGCACAGTGGTGGCTGGTGCCTGCCCGGCTCTGTGGGGCAGAGACAGGGCCGCCTGCCCCTCGCTTGCTCCGGGCCGCAGTTCCTCTTGGGACGCGCCTCGTGCAGCCGGGTGGGCGGCCGTGGAGCAGGGGTGACGTTGGCGCAGGCAAGCACCACAAAGACGGGCCCCCCTCAGGATCGAGGGCAGGTCTAGCCAGAGGAGAAGGGGGACCCGGCGTGGCCGCAGCGTGTCCCCCCCCCCGCCCCCCGGTGTTCACAGTGCCTGTTGTGACATCACGACGGAGCACACAATGGCCTGGCCTGGCCCTCGGGTCCGAGAAGCAGGTGCAGAGTGCCGGCTGAGAGTAGCCGCTCTCGGCTTTCGTGCCCTCTGGGGGGGGGGGGCAGCCAGACACCCTGGGGGGGTCCGGGTTGGGGAATGCTGCCTGGGCGCGCGTGGCTCTGTCCCGGGGCTCATCTAAGCTGCAGTGGGAAGAGTCGGGGCCTCGCGCAGCCATCACCGGCGTCGCCCCAGAAGTGGCTCGTTTGCGGGAGGTGGCAAAGGCGGGGCAGCCCGGAAACTGCCCCGTTGGAGCAGCGCCGCTGTCGTGCGTTGTGCCAGCAGGGGCTCCTGCAGGACGCCCGTGGGCAGGCCGCGGCGTCTCCCTTGCCGGCTTGCCCTGCAGTCCTTGGCTGGCAGGGCCCGGCGGGCCCCGTTGCCATCTCTGCCCCGAAGGGAGTCCCCCTGGACCTCCTCTCGCGCTTGGCCTGGCCCTCGGAAGCAAGCCGAGCCACAGGGATGCTTGGGGGTGCTTCTGGAAGCCCGGCTGGGAAACTGGCACCCGTTTTCACGTCACACGCAGTGGGTGGATGAGGGACACCCTTGTGCAGTGCCGGGGACCTGATTCCTGGAGGGCACTGCACGGATGCTTGACGTGGTCGCGGAAGCAAGCCAGGTGGGGCCGGACCCCTGGAAACCCCATGCGTCCCCGCCCCAAAACGGGTTCCTCACACTTCCCTATCATGCCGATCGCCTTTCTTAAAAGATGAGTAATTCTGGTGGATGCTGTCAAATGTCTCCGGAATGATTTGCCCCTCGATGGAGCAAAATTTCTTTTAAAAATTCCTAAGGGCAGAGTGCCTCTGAGGCCCTGCAGAACAACTCTTCCTCCCAGGAGGAACATCTGTTTAAAAATATCAAGGCTGAAGCACCACGGAGCATGGGTCATGTGGCTCCTTTGCAGCAGGGGCGCTGAATCTCTCTCAGCCTAAAGGTCAAATTCCATTCCGGAAAAGAGAGCCAGTCCAGTGTGGCGTAGTGGTTAAGAGCGCGGGACTGGGACTCGGGCGATCCGGGTTCGAGTCCCCGCTCGGCCATGGAGCCAACCAGGTGGCTTTGGGCCAGTCACAGACTCTCAGCCCAGCCTACCTCACAGGGTTGTTGTTGTGGGGATAAGATGGAGGAGGAGATGTAAGGAGGGGAGGTGTTCCAGTGGTGGGTGGAGCCCAGGACAGAGGGGGCATGGCCAAGTGCCCCAGCACAATCTGCCCTTCATAGACCTATTTAGTAGAAAATAGGGACGTTTTCTTTCTGGCTTACAGAATCCTGTTTCGCCAAGTGCGTGGCTGGAGGTAGTTTTGGGTGAGTTCTGTGGACGTTTGGGGGTTTGACAATGCCACGTGCGAGGAGCTGGATGGTGGAAGGAGCGTATGATTTGAACCCGGGCCCGGTCTAGTCTTGGGGCACGGTTGCTCCGACCCTCTCCATGCCTCTCCGGCCCCTGCACGGCGCCAGCAAGAGGCACGGATTTGCTTGCCGAAAAGGTGCCCCGAGCAACGCTGGGGAGGGCTGCAGAAACGAGGTCAGCTAAAATGGGATTTCGTGCTAACCAAGCAGGCACTGTACGGACAGAGTCGCGGAAATCAGGCTAGCGGCAAATTATGCATGCGGGTGTAAATCAGACTGGATAACGCTTTTGAAAAGCCCTCTGCAGAAATCCTTTCGGAGCTGGATGACACCTTCATCCGCCATGTCATTTGCATGATATCAAGGGCTTAGCATAATTGCTCGGGAGGCTGAACGCTGTGCTGGAGCCGGGAGCGCGGCGGAGCGGGGCCCCGTCGGCCAGCAGGGGGCGCCCGTGCTTCGCCGAGACCGACTCCGCGCCCCGCCTCGGACCTGCCCGTTTCTTAGCCCGAGCGGCACTTTTTAGCTATTTGCAGAGCGCGCGTGTGCATCTCTGCACGGACAGCTGCAGCTTCCCGGATTTCAGGGCCTCTGCGAATGGCCAGCCGGTGCGGCCACCTCGAGATCTGGAGCTTTCTTCCCTAAAAGCAAAGCGAAAACCAAGCGTGTGGTCCCCATGGTTTAGGAACGCGAAGAGGCTCATTCAGGGCTCAGTAAGCACAGCCCCGCTGGACGACTGCCCCACTCTGCAGGAGGCTGGCGAGGGACCTTCACCAGGGGCCACGCGAACAAGCCCCTGCACCCCTTCCCGGCTCCCTCCCGCAACGGTGGCGCTCCCTCAGAAGTGGGGTGCAGCTCCACTAGCCCCCGGCGGCAGCTGCCGGTCCAGCTCCCCCACTTGGCCAGGGATGCAGTCCGCCTTTCACAGATGCGTCGCTTGGGTTTCTTCACGGAACTGCGCTTTCAAAGCCTTCCAGGCCGACTGAACCGGTCTTGTAAGGCATGCGATGAAGAGGAATGATCGAAAAGGTTTCCTGGCCAGTGGCTTGCGCAGCCCCTGAACCCTCAGGCCCACCGGCTGTGCAGCCGCTCGTCGAGGCCTCGAGCTCACGTGTGGGGCTGTGCAGGCACATTTGTGATGGCGGACGAGGAAGGGCAACTGTAAGCTCCCTGGGGCAAGGACCTGTCCCTTTGTGCTTTACGTTACTCAGCACCGAGCGCAGCAGCACCTGCTGCTGCGGGGAAGGAAAAGGGCATCGAATGCCATCATGGGCACTTAGGCTGAGGCGGAGCTAGGGCAGGTGTGGGCTGTGCCCAGGTGTGCACAGGTAAGGGGGGCAGGAGGAAGTCCTGCAGTCCTGCGCCTGGCACTTTCCTAGCAGCCGGCCTCGTGCAAGCCCACCGCCTCGCTTTGCCGGGCGGGGGCTGGCAGAGGGAGAGCGAAGGAGCCGCTCGCTCGCTTTCTGTGTACCTGTTGCCACAGCTACGATGGCCCCCTTTTAGCAGGGTTGCCACGCTGCTCGGCAAGCGACACCTGCCCATCAGCTCCTCGGCCTCTTGCCGTCCGCCCCACCTTCTCCCCTTTCTGATTCTCTGCTTCTCTAGTTCCATGAGGCCAAAATAAAGGAAGATAAAATACGGGTCCGTTTCACGTGAGGCATTCCAGCTTTCCCATTTCCCCGTCTGCAATCCGTGCAGAAGAGAGGATGGGGAGGCAGGGGCTTGGGAAGGGGCCGCGCAGGCCGTCGGGTCCGGCCCCCTGCTCAGCGCAGGCGAAAGCGTGGACTTCCGGGGTCTGCCGGCACTGCAGGAAAAAGGCAGGCCCTGAAAAACAGCAGGAAGCCGCTTCCAGCGGGTCATGGCTTGGAGCGTGTTTCCAAGCGTGCGGAGACGGCTGTTTCTTTCCCTTTCGGCACAGATGGGTAGCGCTCCCCATCCAGCCGCTTTCCTGCCATTCACCCTCGTTCAGTGTCTTTAGAAGCTTCCAGACAGAGGCGTTTTGGCCCGAGATGAGGGGAAGCGCAACTCGGGGAGGCATTCCTGGCTGCCGCCCAGTCAGCAACCTGGCCTTGCCCCTCAAGAGCCGCCGATGTAGTTCGTGGACCCGCTTTGTCCCTTTGTAGTTCGTTCAGCTGTTCTGCCGCCGAAGAGCCGCGTGGAGAATTCCTTCCCTGTGCTTGTTTCAGAATTAATTAGGTTGTAGCTTGGATAATCTGATTTGTCATGCTGTAGCGGGAGAAGAGCACTGAATGCTAATATTGCCGGCTTTCCTCTTATTTTCCTGGTGCTTTCAGGCGGCAAAAACGAGGGGCCGTCATCTCTCCAGTGTGATCTTGCTAAGGAGGGAACCGACGCTCCCTTTTCAGACTTTTATTACGCTCTGATGCCTTGGAGCATCAGGCCAGGATGTGATCTGAGATTCTGGCTGGGGCAGTGGCTAACCAGGCTCTCCTCGCCCACGATCGCAGGGTGGCATCCCTGCTTTTGTGCCCAGCGCCTGATGTGAAAGACGGAATAAGTCCCACTCCAGACGGTGGGGCAAACCTCCGCACGCACATGTCGCCATTGTGCTGGGCAATTTACGGCCCCCCAGATGTTCTGGCCTGCAAGTTCTATCATCCCTCACCATTGGCTGTGCTGGCTGATGGGAACTGTAGGCCAAACCTTAGACAGGGCCAGCTCAAAGCACGGCTTGCCTCTTTTCTGGAGACAGATGACCCCTTGGGTCTGGCTTTCCCCCACATTCAGTTGTTTTAAAGTCTTACTTTCTATCCATCTTGTTTGTGAGCGCACATGAGGATCTTGGTCCGTTTGTACCAGATTTAACTCAGGTGAAATTCTCACCCATCTGTGTGGGAAATTCAGTTTGTTTGTTTGTTTGTTTGTTTGTTTGTTTGTTTATTAGATTTTTCTCCTGCCCCATCATCCCTAAACCTCCCTGGGTGGGTTACAAGGAAAAATAAGCAATCAGATAAAATAACAAAATGCAATGCAACACTCATATAACCACCACGGATGGGATCACCTCATGTCCATCCACAGCCTTTATTAACGAGAGGAGCTTTCAGAAGAAAGAGTCGGTGAACCCAGTTCACTGCCTCCAATGCGGTGCAGCACGGGAGGCTTCCCGGCTTGCCACTTTCCAGCTCTGGGCGAGCGGGCGGCCTTTGGCGAGCCTCATCGCAGTGCCACAGGCCGCCACGCCGGGTGGTGTCCCAAGAGCACAGAAACATCCACCTGGGAGAAAACTGGGGAAGGGCTTTGCAACTGGATTGCTGCTGGATTGCTTTCTCGCAAATTAATCTTTTTTTCACACATTCCCAGCCGAGCATCTTTGCTTTCCTGCCTTCCTGAATAAAACAATGAGATGAGTCAGCTCTCTCCATCCTCTGTTGTTTTCTGTTGTGGGTGCCACCCTAGCCTATTAAGCAGGGGAGAAAGAAAGCATTCGCCCAATTAGCATGTTAATTACTTCCCTGACACACACACACACACACACACACACACACACACACACACACTTTCCCAAAGCCTGTTGCTGTTGCAATAATGGTTCTGATGCCTTTTAGTAAACAAATGGAAGTTCTAGTTCACAGAAAAGTTTTCAGAGTCTCTCTCCTTCCAGCCCACTTTGCGAAAGCGGCTCCCACACTGGCAAAGCAGAGCATTCTCAGCCGGAGGGCATTTCCCTCGCGAGTCCCTTCTGCAATGCTGCTTTTCCAGCGGTGGTGGACCAGCTACTTGGAAATGGGAATTTGGGGAGTTCAGAGTCGCCTCCTTGGGGAAGATTTCTGCTGTATGTGCCCTGAAGGGGCCGCTGCATCTTGGCATCTTGGCACGGGTGTCTTGTTTGTGTAGCTCTGTGTCTTCCAGTTGTTTGTGGGGGAAACATCTGTATGTTGTGGGGAGCAAAGCATTTTGGAATGAGTAGGGCAAAGGCCGCTTGACCGGATGGTGGACTTGACTCTTAAACAGATGATTTTGCAAGGCCGTTTTCAGCCAGCGGGCCGGTGTGCTGAGAGTTTGCTTTTCAAGGCAGGCTGGGATTCTGGAGCGTTTATGCCACAGGGACCTGGGACGGAAGCATTAAAAACGAGCTTCCTCTCCGATGAGAAATGGTCGCTTTTGGTTCGTTAAAGACGCAGTCCTAGGAAAGTTTAGACAGAAAAAAATCCACAGCTGCTGACATGGCTCCGCAGCACCTTTTTCTCTTAATACGCAGATTTTTGTGCAAATGTTTAGACTGATGGACTTCATGGCAAAATTTGGGGAAGAGTGGATTTCAAAGGGCTTTGGGGTCCGCACGTGAGAGATGGCTTCTGGTGCCAGCACAGTGTGAACAAGATGCATTTGTGCTCCATTTTTAATCATCGCACATATTCCGCATTTATTTATTTATCTAACCATCCTCTCACCCAGGATGCTCACGAAGTAGAGCAAAGTTCTCCTCTCCCGCTCTGTTTGAAGGCCACCACCGTCTTGGCTTTTACCATGGCCGCTATTCTCGCCCAGGCAGCTTCCTGGCTGCACAAGGCTTCGAACTTGGCTCCCCCGGCTCTAAATCCAGCACTCTCACTACAATCCCACCGTGTTTTCTGAATACGCCCTGCTCCTGTAGTCATCCTGTAGCGGAGGCCACCGCAATTCTGCACCCGGAAGACCCGAATCCTGCCGCCTGTCTAAACTGAGACAAGGTGGATGAGCACACTGGCGCAGGATTGAGGCCGGACAAGCACATGCAGAATCCTAAAAGGGGTTTAAAAGCGGGGGGGGGGAGGTGCCACTTGGAGGCAAAGCCGCCGTGCTCGGCCAGGCTCCCTCCCTCCCCAGCAAATGTGCAGGGGGGGGGCACAGAGCGGAAGAGCGGCGGGAGGGGCTAAAAGGCGGCGGGGTGGTGCTGGGCGCTTTCCTGGGGCTAAGTCGTCCCTCATCCTGGCCTTTCCCCCTCCAGTTCCCGTTCGGCCGCCGTTTGCCCTGTGACATCCACTGGCACGCCGTGTCGTTTCACGATAATGTTGTCTACTCCGGCCAGGTCAACAAATTTCCAGGTAATTGGATTTTGAGTTGCTCCTCAAAAGCAGGGCTGTGCAGGGAGGAGAGTCCCCTTCCCCTTCCCCTTCCCCTGGAACCCCACCTGCTTCCGTGTAGCACGTTCTGGAAGGACCCTGTGGAAGAGGTGGGTTGGTGACCGTCCTGGGAACGGCTGCCGATCCCGAGAGCCGCTCGCCTTTCCCTCCCGATGCTTCAGGGTGATGGGGACGGACAGGGCACTTCCCTCCCCTCTCCCCACACCCTGTCACTCCCCCAGGGAAATGGGGTGGGTCATTTCGGCAAGTGGGCAAGGAAGCTGGGGGTTGAAGTCGGCGCCAGAGAGGCATCTGGGGCGAGCCAGACGTATGTCCCCTGTTTCGAGGCTCGTGGTGCCTTGGCGAGCTCGGCCGGGTCAGAGCAAGGCCAGGGCAGTGCAGGGACGGCTCTGGGGGGCTGCGGCAGCACGGACCCCCCCCCCGCCCCCTTCCTTTGCAGTGTTGCAGTCCTGAAGTAGCCGGGTGGGGGTCCGCGGAGGGGGCAGCTTCAGCAATGCAAAGCCTTCTGGCTTGGCCCTGCACCCGCCTTTCAGCCCCCAAGGCCGCTGCGGATGGAGGCAAACCGTGGTTTCAACATGGGAACCAAACAGACAAACGATGCAGGTTACAATGTAATGGGAAATCCCCCAAAACAAAGGATTCTGAAATCTTGGGCAATAGCTGCACAGGCCGCCCTGCACGAGCCGGCCTCCCCGTTTTACCACAACGAAGCCAGAGGCTATCTTGCAGCCGTGAGTTCCACAGGTTAGGTATGGATTGTGTGAAGGGGGTTTGTTTTGCACCTGCTCCCGATCAGTTTTGTAATGCGGGGTTCTGGTATCAAGAACAGAGGGGAAGATGTTTCTGCGTCCAAGTCCAATTCACTGTTTAGAATTTTGTGCACCCCCCAATAGTTCTTCCAATCTTCCTGCATATATTTTGTTGTGGGCATGAAGTTGAACTCCCAAGTACCAAAACTAATTTTCCTGGTGTGACAGACAAGACTAATAAACGCTTGGCTCCTCTTTGCGGGGAAAAAGGATAATCAAAACACTTCCAGCTGACATTCCGATTGCTGGTTGTTGCTTTCCCGGGGAAAGGCGCGGAGAGCAGAGGTCCTCCGGTGGATTAATATGGAGGAATTTAAGTCAAGCCTTTTCTGATATCAGGGCTAGGAAACTTTTTAAAGCTGCCTTATTACTCCTTTAATCCCCACCTGGATCAGGCTAAGTAGAAGCAAAAGGCCAGGATATTGATTCATCACAGCACCTGGAATTCTTTTATTGCACTCTGAAAAAGAGCTGGGCGTTTTGTTCTGCAGGAACCGAGCGAGCGGGAGGGCCGTGCCCTCCCAGCTTAATTAAAGTCCAGAATTTAATTAAAGTCTGCTTGCTGCAAAGAGGGGGCGAGGTGGCCACCTCGTTTGCGGTGCCCGGCTTGCTTGGCCCCTGGCAGGCCCTCCCCCCGGCTTTCTCCCCCGTCTTGAGTAGAAGGGGAAATGCCTGAACTCTTGGGCTGCTTGGGAGTTTCTTGCAAACCTTCCTGATGCACAAAGTGGGGCTGGAAAACGTCAAGTGGGTGCCAGATGCTCCCCGAAGCAGCTACTCCTCCTGAATGAATTTGGGTGCTGTTTAAGACCTGTCGGGGGCCCTTCTGTATGCCACCCACCAACGGAAAGGGGCCTTCAATGGTGCCTCCTCCCCATGGGTGGAATTCTTCCCCAAATTAAGTTACACACATTTTTTTTTCAGTTTTTCACACTTATTTTCTTCTGAGCAGCCACTGTGCGATCAAAAGGCGCGCTCTGGATGTTATCTGAAGGTGCCGTCCTGAGCACATTTGGACAGGGAGAAGTCAAAGCGCTCCCTGCGTGCACCGGCCAGGAGGACTTTCCCCCGAGTAAACACACCCAGGGATGGTGCCTGCACGGGTTAGCTCCGCACCCCGTTCTTAATGTTATTTCTTTTCCTGATTCTGCTGTTTATGGTGCTTTAGCATTCCACCGTCTTTAAACCATTCTTGCTCCAAATTGTAGGCGACTTCCTTGTAGAAACACAGAAAAAGAGCAAGTTAGAAAGGTTCTCAGGGGCCATCTAGTCTGACCCCCGACTCCAGCCGGCTCTGCTCATGACATGCATTCCGTGTGCATGTCCAGCCTGTCCTGGGACATCCTCACTGATGGGACCTCAGCCACCTCCGTGGAAGCCCGTTCCATGCCCTGGGGGTCCTAACCGCCAGGAGGTATTTCCTGGCATCCACCTCGAACCTTGGCACCGAAGCGCCCGTTCCCCCAGCCCGGGCTCTTCGGAGATGCTGGACTGCAGCTCCCATCAGCCACGGCCGGCAACCGCCAGCACCAGCTGGCAAGGGCGGGCGCCGTGGTCCCGGCGCATCCGCCGCACGCCCAGCTGGGGAAGGGCTGCAGGGGGACTGAGCCGAAAGCCCTCTGCTCCCACAGGTATGACGGAGGTGGTGCGGAAGGTCTCGCTGAGCCGCGCTATGCGCACCATGCAGGAGCTCTTCCCGGCCGAGTACGACTTCTACCCGCGCTCCTGGATCCTGCCCGAGGAGTTCGTCGTCTTCCTGGCAGAGGTACGCGTGTCCCCTTGCCCCCCGGCACCTGCGGGGGGCCTTCCTGGTGGGGCTCTTTGAAGCTGGCGGCAGGCCGGGTGCCCCCCGGCATTGATGCTCGCCCTGCCCCACTTGGATCGGCGTTCCCCGCGCCGTTATGGGGTCTGCGAGCCCCACAGCCCGTCGCAGGCAGCATGCGGCTTTCCTTGCAAGGAGGCGCCCCTTGCGCGGCTGCCCGTTCTGAGCCACGTGCCTTTGCGCCCGGCCCGGCCTCCGAGCAAGCTTGGGCACCGTAGTTTTCAGCAGCTGCTGCAGCCTCCCCTGCATGGGCCAAGCGTCCCCAGCACCCCCCCCCCCTTGGTAGAAGGTTTGATGTGCCATTCTGAGAAAAACAGATGGCCGATCAAGCAGCCCCACATACGCTCGCCCGTCTGTGTTTGAGGGAAAAGTACCAGTTTCGTTACCAAACATCCTGTTTTATGCTGCTTCTACCGACACTGGAAGGATATGAAATTGCACCTCACGAAGCCCCACGAAGGGACAGGGGATGCAGGAGGGAGTTTGCACGATTGCGCGGAATGCTGCCTTTCCGTGAAACCTCCATGCCGCTGGCATCACGGAAGGGGCGAGGTGCCTGCGGAGGGGCGGGCCCGAGCCGTGTATTTTGCAGTTTTCCCACACTGTTTCTGGAGAGGCAACCTCTGAGTCCAAAGAGATGCACGGGGGTTTCAGCCTTGTTCCTTTTCAGGTGCATAAGTTCAAGGACTCCAACCCATCTTGGAAGCCCACCTTCATTGTGAAGCCCGACGGGGGCTGCCAGGGCGATGGGATTTACCTCATCCGAGAGCCCGACGACGTCTGGACGTCCGGAAACCTCCAGAAGAGGCCCGCAGTGGTCCAGGAGTACATCTCCAAGCCCCTCCTGATCGACAAGCTCAAGTTTGACCTCCGGCTGTACGTCCTGCTGAAGTCCTTAGACCCGCTGGAGATCTACGTGGCCAGAGACGGGCTCTGCCGGTTTTGCACGGAGCCCTACCAGGAGCCGACGCTCAAGAACCTGCACCTGTCCTTCATGCACCTGACCAATTACTCCCTCAACGTGCTCAGCGGGAAGTTCGTCCACTCGAACAGCGGCAACACGGGCAGCAAACGGACGTTCGCCAGCATCCTCGCGAGGCTGGCCGCCAGCGGCGTCGACGTCCGGAAGGTCTGGTCCGACATCGTTTCCCTGGTCATCAAGACGGTGATTGCCCTGGTCCCCGAGCTGAAGGTGTATCACCATTCCTGCATCCCCACGAGGAAGCAGGGGCCGTCTTGCTTCCAGGTATGTGTGGAATTTGGCAGGTTGCTGCCCTTGCAGGCCGGCCGTCCCCTCTGCACGTGTGCTCCGTCTTGCTGCTCTCGAGCCGGGGTAGGAAACTGGGCACCCTGCAGATGCCGCTGGGGTAAGGCTCCCATCGTCCACGAGCACGGGGCGCCGCTGCTGGGCGCTGCTGGGAATGCAAGGCCAGCTACTTCGGGAGGGGTTCTTCGCGCCTTCTCCGAAGGGTTGAGAGACGTCTTGGTGGCGGCGGGGCCCTCGCGTTCTTGCCCAAGTTCCCATTGGAGCCGGGTGTGGGGGAGCCCCCACAACGGGGACAGGTGATTCGGACAGGCCTGCTGGCCAGAGGGGGTCCCTTCAAGGCGGCCCCTTAGCCATCCTTGTGCAAAGCGCCCTTCCCTTTCCGCAGCTCCCTGAGGTGCCATCTCCCTTCGGGACCCCACCTCTCATTCCGATGGCTCTTACGGTCGGTCCTTCAGCCGGTGCCCTCCTGGAGCGCTTTCCCCGTGACGGGAAGCCACTTCTGCCATCGCTCCTGTGCTTCCCCAGCGCCTCACGCCCGGCTTGGTGTGGCCAGAAAACGGCTCCGTTTGGTTCTGCCGTGAGCGGATCCATTTTGCAGAAGTTTTCGCTGGCGACAGGGAGGTGCGGGGAGCTGGAGTCCCAGCGTTTGACCTGGCCTTTCAAGAATCGTGGTTCCGGCCGAGCCGGCCAGCGGAGAGCAGTTATTCTGTGCCCTCGCTCTGTCACTGGAAGCTGCCAGGGTGACAATTTCCCCATCAGTGGCTTGCGACCCAGTCGGAGAAGCCCGTCCGGGGCAGCCTGCTCGCCCTCTTGCCTCCACCAGAAGCCAGGCGCCCCGTCGAAAAGCCTCTTTTTAGCCAAATCTTGTGGGTGGGAAGCCGTGGCACAGCCTTCGCCGAGACTGTGGTGTTGTCCATCTCTCTCGCTATGCTGGCAGAGGCTGATGGGAGTGGTAGTCCAAGCCTCTGAAGGGCTCCAAGTGGGAGAAAGGCCGCCTTCGGTCTGCGCTTGCCTCACGGAGGCGGGCCGTGTGGCTTCCCCCATCCGACAGCCTGGTGCAGGCCGGGATGTGAGCTTTCTCTTACATGCTCCGGCCGCTTGGAAGGGGATTCCTCCGGTGGGTTAGCATTTCCCCAGTGTTTCGCCAGATGGGCAGGCCTCCCCCACAGAAGGCGCCTCTCGAGGAGGAACGTCTGCAGCAGAGGAGCATCGTCCGCGGTGCCGGCCAGCCGCCTCGTTTTCCTTGGAAGGATGCTCTGCGTGGGCTTTGGCACCCGGACAATGTTGTCTTCCGCTTGTACCTCTCCCGTGACTTCCTCCTGCCCCTTCGGACTTTGTCACTTTACTGCAAGAAATCTGTTAACGGCTGGGAAAGCTGGTGCCCCGTAGACACACTGGGCCACAACGCCCATCATCCCTGGCTATCCGTCATGTCGAGTATGGCTGTCTGGACCTGGAATTGAGAACATCTGGAAGCAACACCCGGCTTGCCTGTATCTGATGTGGGAAATTGGGGTGCGGGGTCAGTTTGGAAAGGGGAAGATGCTGCCAGTATCTCTTCTCCAAAGATTTTAGGGTTTGACATTCTCCTGATGAGGAACCTGAAGCCGATTTTGCTGGAAGTCAATGCCAACCCCAGCATGAAAATCGAGTATGAGAAAGAGGTAAGTCGCCTTCTTTTTGGCCGGAGCGTGGAGACACCTCGACGCCGCTTCCTTGGAAAGGCAGAGATGGAGTGCCAACCCCCAGGCTCCGGCCTGCCTGGGACGGCTTGGCGTTCATCCACAGAATCGCTAACCGGATGATCCCCTTAATAGTGGCTTTGAGTGTCGTTAGTGCTGCTGGTGGTTTTTAGATTGGTTGCGTGATGCCGTGGTTTTATTCTCTTTTTATCCTGGGCTCCATCTGCACTGCTTTTATTTTTGCTTGTTTCTGTTTGTGGGGCAGTGCAAACATACAGTCAGTAAGTTTATGTATTACTAAATAAACGCAAACATTAGAAAGGCCTCTCAAAGGGAGGCACGCAGTCTGTCTTCTCAAAGTAGCCAGAGAGGTTGGCTGCAGAAAGAACCAGTAACCAGCATCCCCTGCCGGGGGTCCCCAAGAGCTTGGCTAGTGATGGAAGGACCCCCCTCTTTCTTCCCATACTGAAGAATGGGCTTAATCCCCCTTCCAGTCCTTCTGCTTACCCTCCAAACTTTGCCAGGGGGAAACCGGGACCCGCAGAGACAGGGTCCACCGCTTAAAAGGTTTCCCACCGTCACGGGGACTCTGCCCCGTCCTGGAGGCTCCGTCCGGATGCCCTGGCTGAGGGCCTTTGAGGGGCCTCGCACCCGCAGTGAGTGGCAGAACCCCGAATTCACTGTCGGGGAGCTGTGCCCTGTTTGGGAGCGCAGCTGGGTTGTGTGTAGGCGACACGTGCAGAAGCCTCGGCGCATGACCAGCATCTCCTCCGGCTGTTTCAAGGTTTCTCCAGGAGTCACCCAGTGTGTCCCAAGCCCAGTGGATGAGGAGGTCAAGGTGGCCGTCATCCGGGACACGCTCCGGCTGGTGGATCCTTACAAGAAGGACGCAGAGGCTCTGTGAGTACCTTCTGGTTTTGCGTCCCTTCCGGGCATGTGCCGCGCTGCGCAGCTGGCCACCGAGACTCGCCTCGAATGCAAATGGCAGAATTGTGCCTGGGGCGGTCAAACTCCGGCATCGGCATCGGAGGCAGCGCGTTGCCTGACCCCTGTGCGCACGCTCGCTTCGCATACCCTTTCCCGCTCGAGATTCCGGGACTTGTTGAAGTTTCAACTCGTTGCCGCTGCTGTTCCCCCCTCTTTTTTGAATGAAAATGGAGTCCCTTTGAGTGGCGCAAGGTTTCTCAAGAGCCAAGTTCCGCATACGCTGCTGTATCTCTATTTTTGTGTGTTCTGGTTGTGTGTGTGTGTGTGGGGGGGTTCCCTTGTGTTCTGAGCTGGTGTGGGACCCATGCGGCCTTTTAAAAGCGATTGGGCAGAATCCACGGGGGGTGGGGGGCATCTTTCTTGCAAGACCTGGATAAATGGGAGGAGCCTCGAGGCAGGAGGCGGGGCTCCTCGCTAGTCCTCTTGAATTTGCAGAGCAGTCTAAGAGCACACGGGTAGATGCCCCGACGGCCTATTTCATTCAGAGCTCTGTTCCCGCAGGGCCACAAAGGGGAACTCACAAGCAGAACCCGAGTGCAAAGCAAAGAACCTCTTGCCCATGTTCCCCAGCAACTGGAGTGCACAGGCAGACTGTCTCAGGTGCTGCTGGGGGCACCGAGCTGTCAGGACGGGTCGCTGCTGCGGGCTTTTTCCTCCCTGCGTCTTTATAGCCGTCCACTTGGGGAGCGGCTGCCGCCTCGCGGGGGTGCAAAGTCCATGGTTTGCGCTATGTGCAGAAGGAGTTTCCGTTGTCTGTTCCGGCCCTCCTGGTGTCCAGCTTTTTTTCGTGGCTCCAGGTGCGAGAGCGTGGCTGCAGGAGAGAAGCTTGCTTACTGCAGTGGGGCTCCTCGGGGGCACATCGTGGCGGGCTGGACCCTTTCTGGCCCCGGCACCCACCGAAAGGTAGCGATCGAGGGCCCCGCTGCCCTCCTTCCCTACCTCCCGGCCCTGCCTGCATTTTCATTTTAATCATGCCCTCTCATATTGCATCCAGCGTCTTAGTCATTTGCACTTTCTGTTCCACACATTTCTGATTCCTGGGTGTCATCTGCGATTCTTGAAATCCGGCAGCAGCGCATTTGCATATCCATTCGGTACGAAAGCCACATGAGGAGGCTGGTGATGGATTGCCTCTCTCATCCTGGCTGAAATCTGTGGAAATCGCGTGGGGGAAACAAGGGAGAGAATAAACGTGGCCTTTCCAAAGGACACGCTCTCCCCCCCAGCTCCCCAGCAGCCAGCCGGCCGGCCCTGCCGTGTGGTCACCCACGGCTCCACATCTGGCCTGCGGGGGACTGGAAATAAGGCCACACGCGGAGGGACTGGGAGGACTGGCGTGATCCGGGCTTTGCGTTCACCAGAGAGGCTGCCTCCGGAGGAACTGGGCTGGGCTGTCCTGTCCCGTCCCGGCTGGATCTCTTCTCGGACATCCCAGAGTGCAGGACGGGGAATGCCGGCCTCCAATTACAAGAAGCCCAAATCTGGCCGGACGTCAGGAAGATCGCCCTGCCTGTCAGGGCAGCGCAGCCATGTGGCTCATGACCGAGGGAGGCGGTGGGCTAGCCGGGAGGTGCTCAGGAGCAGCTGCTAGGGATGCTTGTCCTCGGAGTCCTGCCCCCATCATCCCAGTGCTCGATTCTATGCACGTCTGTAGGGAACTGGGTGGAGAGGAGCTGCTTTTAGGAAGGAAACGAGGCGATGCCGAGCCCGCCAGCATTCGCGTCCTCCTCGAGGGGTCCGCGCGAACCGACTGCTCGTCCTGAGGTGCCCAGATCCACCCGGAGGATCCGCAGATGAGGGTGGGGGGGGTCCGGCTTGCGGGAGGCTGCTCCAAGCCCTCCCCACAGATCTTCTTTTGCATCGGCGAAATTACAGGGATCAGAAGAGGAAGCTGAGCTTGATGATTGCTCAGAGATGTTTTCAGAAAGATGAGCCACCGGGGCCGAGGGAGCACATGATCCCCGGAAGGCGACTCGGGTGGAGTTGGAATTTTAATTAAACACCTTCTTCTAAGCAGTGTTCAGAGCACAAGGTGGGGGTTTTGCTGCAGCTTCCTAAGCGAGTTGTGTGCCGTTAGGGCCTGCGGATGTTTCGAGAGGCGGCAAAGCGGCTTCCATTTGTTGGTGGCAAATATTGCGACGGTTTTTCTTTTTGTGTATTGAAAACTGCGGGCGAGAAGAGCAGACTTTACTATTCCTTTCGCGCCTCGCCCGCCTTCAGAAGGGGTAAAGTCAGTTACCAATATAATCAATAGATAAAATGTGCATTTTAAATCTAATTTTTAAGACATTAGAAAGCAAAACAGCGCAGGCCGACAATACAGCAGGAAACCGAGGCGGTCCAAGTCCAGCTGATAAAAGCGCCACCGGCAAATTTTGGGAGGGAGGATTTGGTGGCTTCGTGCAGGGACCCCGCTCGTGCCGGCGACCGCAGCTTTCTTTCCCTCTGCAAGTTCCCTCTTCGTCTCTCGCACAGCAGATGACGCTCGGAGACAGGGACGGAACGGACGGCCGTTTCCTGCATGCGGAGAAGCCCCCGCTGCCGTCCCCCCACTTACGCAGTTCAGGCGGTGGAGCCGGCCCTGCCCCGTCCATTTCAGGCATAATTTATCCCTCAGTTCTCAGCCCTGGGCAGGCAGCGGCGCTTGGCGGTTAAATGAACCGTGTTCCCTTGGGACTTCCCGGCGCCGGGATCAGCCGAGGCGGCTCGTCGCTTTGCTTTGCTGCTACGAACTGTCTCTGGCCCCCGGCTGCCGGCCCCGACTCCCCGCCACGCGGTCGGCACCTCCGTGGCTCCTTCCAGACCACTCACCTGCTTTGGCCTTGTGGACTGACAGGTCCCGGGATCTGGGGCCACAGAGCCTTTTCCTTGCAAAGCCCCAGCAGGACTAGCCCAGATCCAGCAGGCTCCCGGCCTGTTTTCAACCCCAGGAGCTGTCTAAAGGGGTGCCTTCTCATGGCGTTCTTCATCGGGTCGCTGGCTTTCTCTCCTGCTCTTGAGCTGAAAGGGCCCCAGAGCACCTTTCACAGATGAGGGATGGGATGGCTGCTCCCCACGGGCTTGCAAGCTGAAAGGCACGGCACGAAAGGAAAAGGGATGGGAGAGGAGGAGGAAAAGAGCAAAACGCAGGTGCCGGTTTCCTGCTCTCGGGGTTCTTGTGGGTGTTCCTTCTGGCAGGGAGGCCAGGCCAGACTGCCTGAAGCTGTTCCTTCCTTGCGATGTCTGAGGCCAGGCTGGTCTCCCTCTCGCTCGGATGCTTTGCCTGGGAGGCGGCGGGGGGTGTGGCAGTCCCCTGGGGCCTTTGGTCCTTCCTCCGGAGCCGCAGACTGGGGCAACCGCCAGGTTTTTCTCCCCAGCACCTGGTGCCCAGACTGGGTCTGACTGTGGAGGCTCCATTTAGCTAGTGTGGCTGGCAGAGGGCAGTCCGCCTTCCCCCCTCCACGGACGTGGCGAATGTAGAGGAAGGGCGGAGGGGGCCCTCGGCGGGAGCTTGCGCCATCCCCAAAGCGGCACCCGCGGTGCCTTCTGTCGCCAACATCCTCCGGCGTCGGTTCAGCAGCCCTTCCTGGCTTTGTTTACGATCTCGGCCTCCCAAACGGCTTCAGAGGCCCCAAGAAACTCCATCGCAGGTGGCGGCTGAAGCCCTTCTCTTGCGACTGGGAAAACCTCCTCTTCCATTAAGTATAAATTAACTTAATCACCAGGAATGGGAGACAAAGCAGCTATAAGCTCCCCAAAGCTTCAGTCAAAATTAAAGTTCTATTTAAAAACCCAGTTAGTGTTTTTCAAGAGCTCGGCTCCCCCCCGCGCCGCCCGCCCTCGTTTCAGAGAGGACTCCTCATGTTTTGCAGAACTGAAATGGTAGATATTGGAACACACCTGGAGCGAGTGGAAAGGTGCCGTGCGTGGGCGCCCGTGGCGGGTCATGTGCTAGCGAGCGAAGGGCCAGTTCGCGATTCTTTTAAACGCAGATGGGCCATGCGTGTCTCAGGCGAAAGGTGTTTTTGCTGTTCAAGAGTTTCTCACGCCTGTTCCCAAACGGAAGTGTAAATCTACACAGGTTGCAGAGCCTGGCAGCGCTTGGCAGAACGGCTGCCTAGCGTCCCTCGAGATTTCCGCATTTCCAGAGAAGTTCTGCGAGGCTCCAGTTGCTGCCGCCAGTTTATAATTTCCATAGCCCCCAGACCTGGGCTCTGAGCGGCCCGTCCCTGCCTGTGATCCGAGGTGCCTCAGTGGCACGGGATGCTCACAAACGCTCTGCAGGTTCTCGGTGAGGGAAGACGAGGACTCGCCTGCCACAGAAGGAAGCCACGAAGGATCGAGGAGCAGGGTGGACCGGGTGCCGTTGATGGGACTGACTGGGATGTGTGGGGGAGGGTGGCGGAGAGGAAAGAGGAAGAGGGCCGTGCCATCGGGTGCCCAGATGGGGCGTGGTTGAGCCGCCGCTGAAGCTGACAGGTGGCGCTCGGCCACTGAAGCCGCCTGGGCCTCCAGGGATGAGGCTGGGACAAGCCACGTGCCCAGACTGCAACCCGTTCCTTCGAGGGGAGCGCAGCCCCATCCAGCGGGTTGGATTCCCTCCACCTGGGCAGGAGAACCGCCCAGTAACAGTGTCTGGCTCTTGCCTGGATTGAGCATCTGCCCAGGGAGCCATCGCCCAGCCCAGGGTTGCAGTCCGGCCCTTCTGGGACCCAGTCCGGCCGGCAAGAGACGAGGCCGGTGTTGTCTGGTTAGCTTCTCCAACGCCCTGGCCCCTCAGGGAGCGGCACTCCCTAGCTCAGCCACAGCGGGCAGGCAGAGCCCTCTCCGTCAGCACGAGGGCCAAGTCGTCCCAAGGTAGGTTAGGGGTAAAAAACAGGGTGTCCTGGCAGGGTTTCGATGGTTGGAATGTGTTTGGAAAGGGCAGAAATGGTGAGCAGCGCAGAAAAACCCTCTCAAGGGGGGCTTTTTCAAAATGGCCCTCTGTTCCAAGGAACTGTGGCCCTATATTAGGGTTAGGGGTGTGCACCAGGGTAGGGTTAGGGTTAGGAAAACGAGGTGTCCTGGCATGGATTTGATGGTTGGAATGCGCTTAGAATGGGCAGAAATGTTGAGCTGCGCCGAAAAACCCACTCAAGGAAGGCTTTTAAAAAATCCCATTTTTTTCAATGGAACTTGATCCCTATTTTAGGGTTAGGGGTGTGCCCCAGGGTAGGGTTAGGGTTAGAGAAATGAGGTGTCCTGGCATGATTTTGATGGTTGGAATGTGTTTAGAATGGGCAGAAATGTTGAGCTGTGCAGAAAAAGCCACTCAAGGAAGGCTTTTTAAAAATCGCATTATTTTCAATGGAACTTTAGCCCTATATTAGGGTTAGGGGTGTGCCCCAGGTTAGGGTTAGGGTTAGGAAAACGAGGTGTCCTGGCATGATTTTGATGGTTGGAATGTGTTTAGAAGGGGCAGAAAGGATGAGCTGTACAGAAAAAGGTACTCAAGGGAGGCTTTTTCAAAATCGCCCTCTCTTCAGTGGAACTTTTGCCCTATATTAGGGTTAGGGCTGTGCCCCAGGGTAGGGTTAGGCCAGTGGTGGTGAACTTATGGCAAGCAGGCCACAATGGGCATGCAGAACCCTCCCTGTCAGCACACGGGACAGGCCACCTCAGCATCACCCAGCAGCTGAGCATCGGCTAACAGCGCACGTAGGCGTCAGGCGCACGCTTGGAAAGGAGTGGCGGCGCCAGGCGATGACTCATTAGCCACAACTCATCTGAGCTTTCGCGTGGCCGGTCAGTGTAGTGCCAAGGATATACATATATTTGTTTCGACTGGCTGTGATTTATTTCCTCTAAACTATAACCTCAGTTTTCAGGTTTTCCTGCAGAGCTGGCACTTTGCAATGAATCAGTGGGTTTTGGGTTGCAGTTTGGGCACTCGGTCTCTAAAGGTTCGCCTTCACTGCCCTGCATGGCTGCCCAGGAGGACTGCTGGCATATTGCAACCCCTTGAGCCCCACTGGAGATACCATCCAGACCCAGGACGGCCCGGGACGGTGGTGGGACAAGCCCGCCGTCGGCCTGAAGTCACACACCACCCCTCTGGCTCCGCGAGCATTTGTGCTCCGACTGCTGCTGGCTCGTTTCCAGCACTTTCCTGATCACACCACACTGGCTGGCTTTTTATTTGGAGACGTCACTGCTGGGGCTTGCCCCAGTGCCGCGTTTCCCGGCCTGCCGGCGCTGCTTGCTCTTTGTTTTTCTTGTTTCTCTGCTTTGTTCTCTAACGGCAGAACATCAGATGAAGCACAAGCTACCAATCATTCTGCTTGATGAACCAGGAACGCTTGCAGTGCAATTATCTAATCTGCAGGTATTTAAGGCGTGAGCGAATGCAGCGCTGTGTCCCTCTTGGGCTTCCGTCCGCTCTCCGTGAGCCCTTGGACCACCCACGCTTGTTGGGTTTCGTGTAGAAATTTGGATCGGCCCTGGACTGGGATTGGCCTGTCCTGGTGTCCCAAGCCGTTGGGAATCATGTGCTTGGATCCGGGATGCTGAGAGATTCTGGAGGACGGCAGTTTCGGGAAGGCTGCTGTAGGCCTACGGCTCCGTACGGGATTTGGTCTGGGGGTGGGAATCGGCTGGCTTCGCTCCCCAGACTCCGACCTGCTCTCTTTCTGTCCGGTCCACCTGGCGCCTGGTTCTGGGGGTGCCCAGCAGAACGCGAGAGGCAGCAGGGTCCTCCTCCTGCACGTGCAGCTTGGGGGTGTTGCGTTCTTTCTGTGTGCTCGGTCCATTCTGTGCAAGGATTACGGATGTGGCGCGCTGGGCATAAGGGAGTCCCCAGAGTCCCCCAACGTTCAGGACTGGATCTCGGCTCGGCCCACTGGGCAGGACCACGCACGGGGAAGAAGTCAGGGAGTGCAAGAGAGTCGGGTTTCGGCCTCCTCATCCCTAGCCTGACCACCCACGTGCTTTCGACAACAGCCCGTGCCCGCACGGCATGGTTCAGCACCATGGGCCATGTGGTCCCAAACACCTGGCGAGACCTGGTCGCCTCTCCTGCTCCACGTCCTCACCTAGGCGAACGCTGGCAGGGGATTCGGGGACCGCTGGTCCTTGTCCCCAGCCCAGAGTCCCTGCCAGAGCAAGGTTTGCCTGTGCAACTCAAGAGCTGATCGTTCCCTCTTGCATTCGGGTGACAGGTCCCCGATTAAGAGTTGAGACCCCACCCCCGGCCCCCCAACATGAAATATCCTAACTGAGCATTTTTTGTCTGCGCCGCCGCACTGGCAGCTCGGTCCTCTGTCAGGCTTTGAACTTGACGGCTGCTGTTTGGCCCTCCAGAGCTGTAAATCTCGAAGCCTTTAATTAGCAGTTGGAAATGCAGCCGAGGGAGGCCAGCAAGAGTGTATTCGCATAAAGATTAAGGCCGCTGAGAATGAAGAGGATCTGGTGCAGACAGGGGGAAAACATTAATAAATTAGTAAGCATGTATAAAAGATAAAACAGCCATTTGGATTTTTATAAGCTCTGCTCAAATTGAAATTCTGTGTCTCCCCCTCCCCACTCCACATTCCTTCATCCTCCTTTAAAAGTTGCTAATATTTTCTTGACTGGAGATGCCTTCGGAAGAGAGCTCTGCCGTGAGTTGCAGAATCGGAGAAACGAATGTATCGGGGTCAGAGATGAATATGTAAGCCAAGCTGTGCGCTTCGTTCCAAGCCCCTTCCTCAGGGTTGACCTTTCCTTCACTGTGCCGGTCGGAGGATCTGATTCTGTTGGGCCGGCGACGCGCGGATGCCGTTCCCCCCGGCCTGGCCTGTGGGCTGGTGTGCCCCTGCAATTCTCCGAGCCCTCGAGCAGCTTCCTGGCTTGCCCTTTCTTTAATGTTTGCAGGCAGAGCCTCGGAGTGGAGCAGAGCAGGGGCTTGTGAGGATTGTCTTTTGATCAGCATTTACCCAAATTTGCAACATCCTCCGGAGTGGGCGTGTAAAGCATTTGAGGTTGAAGAAATCTGAATGCAGGAGAAACTGGAAATGATAGGCGTGTCCTTCCAGGGCCTTGAGCGCCTTCCTCTGGAATCCCCGTGTATCCATGATGCCAGTGGGAGGCCTTTGAACAAATTTAATAAATAAATGCAACACATAGATCATAGTAGTTCTTAAGTAGGACCTCCACCTTTCTTCTTCCTCACCTTTAATAGCTACCTGGCCAGCCAAGGTCCTCTTCATGCTTGGAAGAGCTGCACCTGTTGAATTTCACTGGTATAGATGGGTGAGAATTTTGTTTCCGTTCAGTTTTCGTGCATTGACTGACATCTGCAAACGTTCCTCATATTCAGAGGAGAAGCATCAAAAGTCCAAATGTGGGGAAGAAGCGGAAGCGGCTAATTCACTTCCTCCTTGTGCTAAACAACAAGGGAACCTCACAAAAGTGGCATCTGCAGACAAAGAAAGCCATTAATGTTGCAAGCTGCCCTGAGATGTTAGACGTGAAGGACGGCATATCGATGCTTTAAATAAATAAATCTGAGGAAGAAATTTTCCAGGGGTTTGCAGCTTTCACCCACCTGCTTAGGAAACTGGGACGCCTGGGGGCTGTAGGGGCAACGGGAGGGCCTCACTCCCTGTCTTTCCCAGGATGCGGCTGGGGAGGCTGTTCTGGGGGAGGAGAGCCCAGGGGCTGCCAGGCCAGGCCAGGCCAGGCCAGGCCATCCCCCCTCGCTTTCGGGAACCCCATTTATCTTCTCTGTGATGTTTTGCCTTGGAAGAGGAAACCCCTTTGATTCAGTCCAAATCTTGCTTTCCGCCGGAGCCTTGGAGGCAACTGGGCGGGTGCCCGTGGCAGGCGGCTTCGCACGTGCCGAAGATGCTCCGTTTCTCGGGAATGAGGGCGAGCAGCTTCTGCTTCTGTGAGCTGCATTTAGTGGAAGCTTTTAAAAATCAAAGGTGCTTCAGGTGTGCGGGGGGAGCCTTAGGAGCTGCGTTGCGTTGTGTTGTCCGCGTTACCCAGATGGCTGATTTGGGAGTGGAGGGAAAGCCCCCCAGGGACGTTTTGCTGCCAGGAACGAAAATGAGCCCTTAACATGGCGAAGATCTTGGTTGAGCTCCAGCTTCATCTCTTTGCGGGGTGCCTGGCCTGGGCCTCCTTGGCCCGAGCCCCGATTCCGCATGAGTGCCTCTGCTGAGCAGGCCATCTGGACGTCTGTATCGCCCCGAGTGATATTTGGAGGTTTCTGCTTCTCCGAGTGCAGACAGACTGGCCGAAGCTGCACCGAGGCCGAGACGACTGGTCTCGCTGGATTCTCGTTTCCCTTCACTCCCCTCCTCGGCTGCCGCTGCTCTTTACCGGCTGGCCCTTTGCTTCCCATTGCGAGTCTCTGGGGAGGGTCGTGCCCCTTCACGGAGACAAGTAAAGTAATATTTGAAACATCACGTGAAATATACGCAGAATTTGCCCCAGGGCACCCGGCTTAAAGGGGTCCTCCCTGTCCTGGGCCGTATCCACGCTCTGTCTTCCTCCTGCTTTGCCTCGCTCAGAATGGTTTCTCCTAAGCCCGAGTAAATGTTTGCGCCCGGTTTCTTCTCTAAGTCCTTGAAAATGGGTTTTTGAAACCGCGAACACGGGCAGGATGCTAATGGATGGGCACAACCGCTTCTCCGGGGAAGTGGGGGGAGCGGGGGGGGGGACAAACAGGGCATGCTAATGCATTTCTGGTGTTGCTGTTTGGACTGCAGCGCCGAGGCGTCGCAGGAAAACGAGGACTTGCTTGAAGAAGGGTTTGTGGAAAAACTGGAGCTGGGTGGCAGCGAAACGCCGGAGAGCAGCATCCCCACGTTCTCCTTGAAGCAGGTCTTTCCGAAATACGCCAAGCAGTTCGACTACCTGCGGCTGGTGGACCGGATCGCCACGCTGTTCATCCGCTTCCTGGGTGTGAAAGGGACGACTAAACTGGGACCGACCAGTTTCCGGACGTTTATAAGGTGAGGACCTTGGCGATCTTGCAAGACAGTGACCCGGAGTTTGGTCCCGGGTGCAGCCTCCGTGTGCTCCTTCCCCCACTTTGCCAGGAAAATTTCGGGGTGAATCGGTGGCTCTGTTGCCTGCCCCCTTTCTCAGTCTGCTCAGAGCGGATCCGTCGGGGGGTTTCTCTCTCATGCGAGGGCTTTTATCCACTTCTGGAGCACGGAGAGGATGCGGGGAGGGCTTGCTTCCTCCGGTGTCACATTGAAATCCGGCGTGGTGGTCCCACGAGGTGGGATGACGGGGGGATTCCAGAGAAAGAACGAAGGCCCTGCTTTGCCCGGTGCATAAACTGGGGGATTGGCTCCCGCAGGAGGGAGTCCCAGCCGCTGCTTGGGGTGGCTTTTGAAGGGGGTGCGGCAAACGCATGGGAGGGGAGGAGGCCGTCCGTGGCTACTAGTCCTGGGGCCTGCATGTTGCGTCCACCAGTTGCTGGGGAACATGGGTGGCAGAGGTCCAGCAACGGAAGTCTGGGCTGGATGGACCTGGGAGGGCGTGACAGCCAGGCTTCCTTAATTTGCGCTTCAAACGCTGAACTTAAGCAGAAAGGTGCTGGAGCGTCGGCCGTGTGCCCCCCGCCCCACCTCGGCAGGGCAGCCCTGAGAGCACAAACTAGGCGCTGGGGCTGGAGGGGGCCCTGCGCCCCACCCTCGTGCTGGCCCAGGTGGTTCAGGCCGGGACCGCCCCACCTGCCTGCGGGGAGCCGCTGCGCCCCACCGGCGCTTCCCCAGGATCCCCCGCCTCCGCTCTGGCCCCACGTCTGTCTTCCACCCCGGCAGGAACTGTAAGATAAACAACAGCGGCTTCAGCATGGCTGCGGTGGACATCCTGTACATCGACATCACCCGGCGGGGCAGCGGCCTGGAGCAGCGGGACGCAGGTGAGCCCGGCCCCGCGCGGTCCGCAGGGGGTGCTGGCAGGGGCCGGGGGGGGGGGGTCTGCAGCGCCCCGCTGTGTGTGGGAGCGGCGGGCCCTGGGATCGGGCATGCGAGGGGCCCGTTGGATCATGGAACCCGTCAGGTCCTCGTGGCGGCGGGCATGACCTGCTGCCCGGCGCTCACCCGGGTTCGAGTCCTCACGCCCCTTCAGGACTGAGTTTTCTTGCCTTCGGGAAAGCCGAGCCCTTGCAGAATTTTGCTAAGGTATTTGCAAATCTAGGGGAACAACGACAGGCTATTAAAACTTCCCCAGTGCTGAAAGAAGTTGGCGGAAGCGCTCAACTTCCGTGTTTCATTAGTAAGTACCAAAATTGATAGGCGGGCAGAGCAGCCGGAAGCTAATTTTTCACGTTTATTGCTTCAGACGCACATTGCCATCTGGCCTATTGTTAATTCTCTATTAGCGCTTGCATTCGGTTTGCATCTTAAATTGCTGCAGATAAGCGGGGTCTGTTGTTCCTGGGACGCTGCTTAGCCCCGATTTGTGTGTGTGTGTGTGTGTGTGTGTGTGTGTGCGTGCTTTGTTTATCAGCACTGTGTCTTTGTTTCGCTGAGCCGAACAGGCGTGAAGCAAAATATTTATTTACACGGCATTCGGGGTAGCCGAATCCTTCCCCGCTCCTTCTGCGAAAACGGCCTGCCTTCCTCCGAGCCACACCGAAATGCAGCTGCTCTCAAGTTGCCTGGAGTCTTTCCCCAGGCTGGAGGGCACCTTTCCTTGCCCGGATGCATGCTGCTTTTCGACAGCCGGCACAGGGTGCGGGACGGAGGGTCCAGACCCCTCCGGCTTTCCCCTGGCTTGGCACTGGCTCCCTTTTCCCGCACACGCACCCTGCTCTGAGGCCCCATCCTGGCTGCCCGCCAGGATCCCGTCAGCCGAGGGAGGTAGCCGGTTCCTGTCCGCCAGGCCCTGCGCAGCCCCAGCCGCCAGATCCCCTGCCCGGGAGACCCCTCTCAGCTCTGAGGACCCCTCCAGATCGGGACGGGCAGGCCGGGAGGTCCGCGTGGGTCTGCATTTCCCCTGCAGCGACGGCCAGAGGGAAAGGGGAGGCTTGGCAGCTTCCGAGGATTTCTGAGGACGAGCTGCACCGTTTTTTAAAACGAATTCGCCCTGCAGAAGTGGGCTGTAGCCAGATGTCAGTGGCAAGGATGCGGATTCCTGTGGGCTCAGGCCCCGCCTTGTCCCCGTGCTTTGCCCCCTTTCCTGGCGGGGGCCTCAGGGCTCGGGGCCCATGGGGGCTGCCCCTGCTCGCTCTGGCGCTGGTTTGCTCCTCCAGCTCCTGCCCCGTCTGTGGATCACGGCTCTTGCTGGGCCGGGCGAGACCGAGCCGGGCGGACAGGCCCTGGAGCGGGAGCTGCGCCGGGAAGCCCCCCCAGCTGGATGCTGCTGCCTGGGATGCTGGGCCGGACGGGTAAATCATTCCGGGCCCGCCATGCCAGGGCTGGGAATATCCCGACAGGACGGTCCGCGGGGGCCCTTCGGGGAGCTGGCCACCCCGCTTGCCCTCCTGCCTGTTCGTGTTAGCCGTACCCCCCCTTCTCCCGGTGGGTAAGCCTAGGTGGCCGCACGCGGGTCCCAGGCGGCCCCCCTCCAAGCTCCACCACCCCAGGCCTGCTCAGCATCTGCAGCCCGGATGCCGTGCGCGCCTTCAGGCCACGCCATGCGGGTGCTGCTGCTTTTCCTTGCGCGTGGCCAGAAGGTCCGGCGATGCCGCGGGGCCCGGCAGCCTGGCCTGCGAGCGCCGGTGTTTGGCGGTGGTCGCGCTCATGAATTGGCTCCCCGGGTGTGGGAGCTTGGGCGCTGTCGTGCTGCGGCCCCATAAAAGGGAGACGCGTGCGCAAAGGCAGAATTAAAAACCCACATTTGGAAGACGATGGCATTTGTTTTACAAGGGACGTTCGTCCCTGCGTGCTCCCCGCCAGGTTTATAATGTGAGCTCTGGATCCCAGTGAACCTTGAAACAGGACGCTTTAAATGCCCGTTTGGCGTCCCTTACACCGATTAAATTGTCAGGTTTTATTAAAAATTGTAACGGATGGGTTTTATTTTAATATCGACAAAGATGCTCTGTACCAGGGAACTGGGAATGAAAACTAGAGTGTTACCCACCAGGGGGATGCAGACGAATCCCCTTTCCCTCCCACTCAAAAGAAGGAAGAGTGGGGGACGCGTTCCGCTACTTGAACTCTGGATGTGCTAATCGGATATGCCGTTTCCCCGTGGATCATCTGCAGGCAAGTGAGGAGGAGGGCAGAGGCCGGAGGGATGCGCCTCTGCCCGGCCCGGCTCTGCCTGCGCTTCTGCGACGCCACGGAAGGTCCATCGCCATTCCAAGTTGCGCGCTGTGCAGCGCATAAGCTCCCGGAGGCCTGTGGCCAGGCCGAAATCTCATATTTCTCATATGAAGTACGGTCATGCCATCCTCTCTGTTCCCATTATTATGCTTTAAAGAACCCTTGAAGGAAGGGAGAAGAGTCAGGAGGGGAGGAGAGAGCTTTCTGCAGGCACGATGGGGCCTGCGCGTCCCACACCGAAGGCCCGGCCAAAGAGGGCCTCATTTCCAAAATTTTGCACCCGGTGCAACATGGTGGCACTCCTTGTTTTTTTGTTTTTTGTTTTGCACATTTTTTATTAAGATTTTAAACTAAAAACTAAAAAAATCAGTCATCAATTACATCGGACGTACTGGGTCAGCCCCCTGTAACATATCTTTTTAACATTCTGTAATCATATTCAAATCGATTTATAAAACTTTAAAGACATCTTTAAATCTAAGCCAAGTCCCGTTTCTCCAGCCAATCATAAAAAAGGTCCCAAGTTTGATAGAAGTCAGTATCTTCTCTCTCCTTCAGTAATAGAGTCAATCTGTCCATTTCTGCACAATCCAGAATCTTTTTTAAAATCAGTTCCTCAGTGGGTAATTCCTCACTCTTCCAGTATTGAGCAAGCGCAATCCTCGCCGCTGTGATTAAATGTAGCATCAAATACATTTCTTGTTTGCTAATATTTTCCGGTATAATGCCTAACAAGAAAATTTCAGGTTTAAAAGCTTCCTTGTTTTAGCAAAGGCCCCCCTCGCGGGGCAGGCGCTGGCGAGCGGGAAGCACAAAACCGGCGGATAAAATGAAGACTGGGCGTCGGCGTCGGCTGTGTGGTGATAAACCCGGCAGGTTGCTTGGCAGATGACATGCCGCCCGCCTCTCGGGTGACCCCAGTCGCAGCCCTCAGCGGAGGGATGCTTCCGAGTGTCACTGTGTACTGCAGAAGAGCCCCCCCCCTCGCCTCAACGGCCCCGATCGAATGTGCAGAAATAGCAATAGAGAGCACGTGCTCTTTGGAGCCTTATCGGAAAATTGCTCCCCTTCAGTGGTTGTCCTTCCCTGAACAAGCCCCGCAGAGCCCTTTCTGGATTGCACAACGCTCAGGGGGGACGCTGTGCTCGGTAGTAAGGGGAGGTTTTAATTCACCGGGAACACGCGCTGTTTCCACTGGGCTGCTCTGCCCTCCCCTGCACGGACTGCAGTGAGGACACGTCCAGGCGTGGCTTCTTGAAAGAGGCGGCCGCCTCGCGCTCCTGCGCATGGACGTGCCTTTTCTGGAGAGGGCGAGCGCAAGGTAGGTGTGTTTGGGCATCTGCCGAGGGTCTGGTCTGCCGCGGGGGCTGCTGGCGGGATCCCCCCACGGCTCCCCCTTCCCCGTTTCGGCCTGCCTGCTCGTGCTCCTCCCGCTCCAGCCGGGCAGCAGGGCTGGCACCCATGAGAAACCTTGCCAAGGGAGGGGGCCGCCGAGGCATCCTGCCCACCAGCCCCCCGGGGGCTGGCATGGACAGCCTTCCCCCACCAGTCTTCTGCTCTGGTCCTGCAGTGCTTCTTTCCAACCGTCCTTAAGTGCATCCTTTCCCCGCCTGGTTCCCTTCGGCGCATCGGACCCTCCGACTGGGAGATCCCGGGAGTTGTAATCTAACACTTCCGAAGGGCATCGGGCTGGAAAGCGGGGCCCGAGTACGTTTGTTGTGTGATTCCCTACCTGTTTTAATTCCGGGTATTTCCATGTTTTCCCTCTACTGCTGATTGTAAACCCATGTGTGCACAAACACTACAATCTGCTATGGAAGCAGAGGTTTGGACGTGTCGGTCAGAGAGGCACGGAGGTGTAACGCAGGCCGACACATTCCACCACAGTATCACCTCTTGCCCACGGCCCCTTCCTGGCCGCGAGGAAGTGCCCCGGCCTCCTCGGACACCGTACATCTAAGATTTGCATCCGGCCAGCAAGGCGTGGGTTCCCTGCACTGAGCTGTACCGCACACGGTGTTTCGCTGTCGGTGCTTTCTCCTCCGGGAACGCAGAACGTCGATGAGCATCCCTTGACCTCACCTGTCCTCAGTCCGGGGACCCGCCTGTTCCGCGAGAGTGCCGGGCTTGGTACGCGTCTGTGCGTGCCGCCAGAAACGGGAGATGGTAGGCAAGGCGCTGTGCCTTATGCCTCCTCTCCTCTCCTCTCCTCTCCTCTCCTCTCCTCTCCTCTCCTCT